GTGATTATTTAGGGAGTAAGTGAGTTCGTTTTATGTTTAAGTATTTCTTTATGTATGCTTTGTAGCAGTATTTCAATAAATTGCTTGTGTTGTATATAAAATTGATTCGAAAGTGAATGACTTGGATTCTTCTAAAGTTGCAGACAAAGATTTATATTCTCTAGCTAGATTTTTTTTTTTGAATTTACCCTATATTACAGGTTAGTAGCGTTCGTTGGCGTTCGATTCGTACCGGAACCACTGTAAAGTTGCGGAGTTCTCTCTCTCACTGAGTCCTCGGCGTACTTTATGTAATTTGATCTACGTTGTCAGGTAGATAGAGGTTCTCACTTACCTTTCGCTGGATTGGTAAAACCTATCTATGGACGGAACCTGGGGTGGTGTGTCGTCCAAGTGTTGGAGCGGTAGGGTAGATGTTCGAGTGAAGATCACGCACTTTCGATCACAATGAATGTTTATTCGTTACTGGTACAGTCTTTCGATTCGTTAGCGTTTTTACAATTGAAGGTTACGGAGCCTTGCTCTGTCGAAGTACTGTGCTTCGTAGCAGAGTTATATAGGTTTAGACTTATTTAATTAATCGAGTTACCGGAATCTTGCTCTGTCGAAGCACTGAGCTTTCGTAGCAGAGTCGTGTAGATTTTTGAGGATCAAACTCGGAACGGTACTTCGCGGATTATATTCGCGGATTTTAGTACTTGTACTTGAATTGAATTTCGAACTGCGCCTATGAGAACTTCTTACGAGAACTATTGGTAAAATTGACTGCGTGCGGGCGGGCCCGATCGCGTTATTTTATATTGGTGAATGAGGTCGACATTTGATTTGGCAATTCGGGTGAACCACCTCGTTCGGATCGTCAGCGTTCTCGCCGTACGTCGACCCGGCTGAGTTGCTCACTCAGAATTTGCAGAACGATGAATTTGGATGGTGCAATAGAAGTTTAAAGAATTTGGTTGATGAAATAGAAGTTCCAAGAATGCGTCGCAGGACGTGACAATACATATGTTGTACTGATTTGAATTGTGAAATCAATTACAAAATTAAGGAAACTTATGTTTATTTATATGCATATAGAATGCGTCACAGGACGTGACAATTTGAAAGAATTGGAACTTTTCGGACTATGTAGTGAAATTCTGTGAAAAGTGATAGCGACCGTGCGGTTGAGTGAGTTTAATGATCTCGTCTGGTCAGCTGTTCTTCGCAACGTATTCCCTCCTCGAATGTTCAGAATCGGCACAATGACCCATTGACAGCAAACCATTTTCATTGCAACTGGGTCATTTACGGACGAATGAGTAAGTTTTATTTATATTTTTGAATGTTTTCGAATTTAACACGTTTATTAGTTATTCCATTTCAATCCTTTTTTTAGTATGTGGAAACTTTTTTTATTTCCAAATCGTGTATTCGTTTTTTCATATTTGTTCCAAAAATGAAAATAAAAGTGTTGGATCAATTCGATTTATTCATTCTACATGAACAACGATTCATTACTTTATTCGTTGTTCATGAGCAATCAATATTCGATACTATTATCCTTTTTTTTTTTATTCATTATCCGATGCAACTTCTGCCCAACGAATCCTATTATACCAACATAGTGCCGATGCACTTGATCACAACCGCGCGGAGCATACCCAACACTCGGGGTTCGGCCCGCGCTAACAGCGCGCTCTGATTGGCCAGTGTTTTTCGTTAATAACTCGAAAACGAAGCCTTCACCAACATTTTGGCAAAGGAAAAAGTTGTTTTGAATGACCCCACTAATCATCCCTCTTACGCTCCTACCCCAATTCTGGGACACCCTGTATACAGGGTTTTATACAATATTTTAAGGGGTGATTCTAGGGATCAAAATAAGACGAAAATCAAGAATAACGAAATAGCGTTTACGGCTTTGTTTTCCAGTTACTAACGTTTAAAAATTCGAGTAAAAAGCGCCAGAAACCTGCAATCCGCTCAGCACCGACGACTGAATGTCAGGTCAGCAGGGATCGGTACAGTCATAAACAAGAATCGTTGAATATGTCACGTCCTGTGACGCATTCTATATGCACGTAAATAAACATAAGTTTCCTTAATTTTGTGATTGATTTCACAATTAAAATCAGTACAATATATGTATTGTCACGTCCTGCGACGCATTCTTGAAACTTCTATTTCATCACCCAAATTCTTTAAACTTCTATTGCACCATCCAAATTCATCGTTCCGCAAATTCTGAGTGAGCAACTCAGCCGGGTCGTCGTACGGCGAGAACGCTGACGATCCGAACGAGGTGGTTCACCCGAATTGCCAAATCAAATGTCGACCTCATTTATCAATATAAAATAACGCGACCGGGCCCGCCCGCACGCAGTCAAATTTTACCAATAGTTCTCGTAAGAAGTTCTCATAGGCGCAGTTCTTATCAGTACATCTAAACGGTTCATCGACTTATCAACATAGTACGAAACCGAAAGTATCGCGATCAGACTAAATCACTCAGACCATCTGTAAATCATTAAATCCGCGAAGATAATCCGCGAAGTACCGCTCAGAGTTCGATACTCTAGAATCTACACGACTCTGCTACGAAGCTCAGTACTTCGACAGAGCAAGATTCCGGTAATATCAATAAATTAACTAAGTCTAGCGTTTATGACTCTGCTACGAAGCTCAGGGCTTCGACAGAGCAAGATTCTGTAAGACTCGATTGTAAACGTGCGCGAATCAAGAACTGTACCAGTAACGAATAAACATTCATTGTGATCGAAAGTGCGTGATCTTCACTCGAACGTCTACCCTACCGCTCCAACACCTGGACGACACACCACCACAGGTTCCGTCCATAGATAGGTTCTACTCATCCAGCGAAAGGTAAGTGAGAACCTCTATCTACCTGACAACGTAGATCAAATTACATAAAGTACGCCGAGGACTCAGTGAGAGAGAGAACTCCGCGACTTTACAAATAGTAGAAACTTACCTCGTGCTATTCTTCTATTTTTTTTTTATCTTCACATTGAATTTACATTAAATAACAATTACTAAAACAATGTTACATTAAATGTTCAATATGTCCATCGTTTTGTTCAATACATACGCGAATTCGTTTTCCGAAATAGAGTCTCATGCGATGAAAATCGTCTGAAAATCGTTTTGAGTATTCGTTGTTTTAATTCCTCGCTGATCGTTACCGTTGTTGAGTACACTAAACTTTTCAGGTATCCCATAGAAAAAAGTCTAAAGGATTGGAGTCAGGTGACCGGTAAAATATTTGGGTAGGTGGTAATTATAAAAGAGTCTAATTGTAAGTGAGTGCGAGAGTTACTTCAGGTAAAGGACTTTTGGTGAGCTGCAACGAAACAATAAATGATCCTGATATTATTAGAGCTACGTGGAGTCGAGGTGAGCGTCGACTATCATAAAATCATAGGTGTTCCGGATTTCGAGCGCCACAATTTAAAACCTTATCTAATTAGTGCTCGACAACACCATCGGCTCGGCGTTGTCGTCGGTCGAAGGGTTTATAAAAACACCGACGCCGCGACAAACGTCCTACTACGTTTTGCGCTCCTCGAACGAAACGACTCCCGTAAATCGCGACGAATTCGCTACGGGCCTCTTTACAAATTAAAGACGGAAATAAAGTACACCAAGTGAACTGGTTTGTTAACTAAAGTATCGACAGTGTCGAATTCATTTACCTGCACCCTTTTCCTTACAACATTAACCGGCGTTCTTGCCTAGAGCAAAAATTAATACTCTACGCGCAACAATAGGTATTCTGGATTTTTCATAATTTACTTAATCCGTCCGACGTATCTAGTTCGAAATTTTCATTTTTATGGTGGGTACGGTCATTCCTTTCGTGTGTACCCAATTATTATTCATAAGCTGGTATCGGGAATTTCCACAAGTATATTAAAAAATGTTAAAATGATTTGGGTTTTTTTTATCTGGAAAACGTTTTCTTCATATTTTTTTTATCTTCACATAACAAAATCCCTTAACACAGTTAAGCGACTATTTTTCCGATTTATTATCCATTCTAGCCATTATGTTTTATATTTTTAAACATTTGATAGTTCTGAAGAAAGCTGATTCTTCAAATTCGAAAATAGTACAGGGTGCGTTACGGAAAACAGACGATTTTCAAATGAATGTTGTGAAGCGGGCGGTGGGGGTAGAGGTTTGTGTAGGAGGGCATTTAACGCATCAAGCAATGCCATTTCATTTGTTATCATGTCGCTGTGGACATTAGAGCATCGAGTGTTCGTATACGATAATTTTGTAAAAAGTGGCGAGTCGGTTATTGAAACTCAATATGATCAACAATTTCTTGAAACCAGAACTACGGAGGCTTAGGATTAATACACAGAATGTCTGGTTTCAACAAGATGGGGCCACCGCTCATACTGCCAGAACATCAATGGCTGTTCTTCGAGCCATGTTCCCCGATCGCCTCATTTAAAAATTCGGTGACGTTCCTTGGCCTCCTCGAAGGATGCCATTCGCCAGCAACTAGGAATGATAAACGAAGAACTGTTGAAGAGAGTAGTAGCGAACTTCCGGGAGCGACTGCAAAGTTGCATTCACCAAAATGGTCACCATTTAAGTGACATAATTTTTCATACATAAATAGCCTAAAATGGCATGTAACAATGTATCATTTCGTGACAATAAATTAAAATTACGCTAGAAATTAACTGAGAAATATTTATTTTAAAAACGTCTGCTTTCTGTGACGCACCCGTGACCTAGCAGTATTTGCAAACTTTATAATTAAAATCCACTTTCTTACGTTTTCGAGATAAAAGAAACAAATTATTTTAATATTTTTTAGTATACTTGTGGAAATTCCCGATACCAGCTTATGAATAATAATTGGATACACGCGAAAGAAATGACCGTACCCACCATAAAAATGAAAATTTCGAACACGAGACGTCAAACCGATTAAGTAAATTAGGACAATCCCAGAATACCTATTATTATATGATAGTCGGCGTTCAACTCGGCTCCACGTACCTGCAATAATATCAGGGTCATTTATTGTTTCGTTGCAGCGCACCAAAATTTGTCCTTTACCTGAAGTAACTCTCGCACTCACTTTAGACTCTTTTATAATTACTACCTACCCAAATATTTTAGCCTCCACGCAGAAATTTTCATCATTATTTTGTCGATTCGTCGATGCTGCTGCCACGTGCTTTAGCGGTTTGAGCATCGAGCCGATAACGTAGAAATGACGAAAGCAGCCGAACTCTGCCAAACCCGCAGAGCTCACACGGACACGTGGGACAACGCGCTTGTGTTAGATGAAACAACTGCGGTAGGGGAATCACTGGGACGTCGTGGGACGTCGTGGAGAGGGTAAAAATTTGTCCCACGTCCCACGGTTCTGGCATCACTGCGTGGAACGCCTCTATTTATAGTCAGATTCTGCTGACTTAGCGCTTTCTTTTATTATAGGGTTCCTCTAGATTTCTGGAATTCCCCATCACGTGACGGCCGAGCACCCCTGCTCCTTAATCTACGTGATCGCCCTACTCTAGAATTTAACCCCGCCGCGAGATCATCGGGGTTGCGCTGGCGCGTATGCATTTGTTTGTCGATCATTTATCGATAATCGACTTACCGACCGACTTACCGACTAAACGCTTATCGGCTTATTAAATTAGACTATATTATCGATTAATGAAAATTATTTATTATAAGAAATATAATATAATACAAATTAAACTAAATACTTTTTTTTTATAAACTTAACTAAATATAAAAAAAAAATTAAATTAACCATTTTGTACAAAATTTGAACTAAAAATAAATTATAATAATAAAAAAGTGAAACGAAAAAGTGCTGGGTCTTCTTAGCGGGACGTTACAATTCTTTTCCCAGTCATCTGTTGTTATGGTAGCTATGGCTCCTTCTGTTAAACTGTGCAATTCGCTGAATGTTAATGTTGAGGGATTTTTCTCCCGTATTTTTCTTTTAATATGTGCCCAGATTAGTTCTATGGAGTTTAGTTCACACATATAGGGTGGCAATCTTAAAATATCATGTCCATTAGATTTAATTATTTCGTCTATTTTATATGTTTTCTCAGGTTTTCTGTGACGTTCTATTAATTGCGATAACTCATACTTGGTCATCGACTCTGAATGTATCACATCATTTCTAATGAACCAATCTATCATTTCCGATTTTCTTGCATATTTCGATGGTGGCTTATTTATTTGGGTGGAGTGATACGGAGCATTATCCATAATGATGACACTCTTCTCCGGTAAGTTGGGCAGTAATTTTTCGGTTATCCATTTTTCAAAATTGGCAGTGTTCATTTGGCCATGGTAATCGCCAGTGGTGCTTCTGGACTTAAAAATTGAGCCTGCATTTGGCACAAATCCATTGTTTCCACCAGCATGGATAATTATGAGCCGGTGGGAAGAACTTGCACTTTTTATAACTCCCAACATGTCGTCACTCTGCCAACATTTGGAGAAACACAACGTATCATCTACCCACGTTTCATCAATATAAACTATGTTTCGTCCTATCGATCTGTAGTGCGCAACAGCTCTCAAATATTTCTCTCTCCAGCTTTTGATGTTCGGTTTTTCTATTAGGACTTTCCTGATGCTATTACTTTTTTTTCCATTTGAATCCCATATTTTTTAATAGTCGGTAGAGAGAGTATACTGACCATGGAAAATGAATTTTTTCGCGAATGGCGATCAAGAGCTTAGGACCAGTGGGTATACATTTCTTTTTAACGTAGAAGTCAGTTATTATACCTCTAATGACAGCTCTGTTCTCCTGAGAGCAATACAACTCCGTGGTCCTTTTTTGCTTTTTTCCTAGCGATGGTAAATTTTCCTCCTCGGAAGAACTCTCATTTCGAATCCTGCTGATTGTCCTCACTGATAGTCCTGTATAATCAGCAGCACGAATTGCAGGTTTGTCAATAGGGTGAAGGAATTCCCCTTTTGTTGCTTCCTCCTCACATTTTGTTATAAGTTTTTTTACCACAGTGCGCGCTTCACTATGGATTATTTGTCCTTTTTTATGACTAGCCATTATTCTAACAAAAGTACTTAAACACTTAACTAAACACTACACTAAAACCGAAAATTGTCATTGTACTTTAACACTAAACTTATCAGTACACTTATAGTATTTTACACTAAATGGTACTAACGATAACTTATAATAAAAACGGATATGAAAACAAAAAGCTCAGAAAAACGATCAACGATGTGCACATACAGACTGCTCTGGGAAAACTGTTACTTGGAGCATTGGAAAAATCTTTTTGGAGCCGTTGTTTATGGTTTCCACTCCTTCGTCGTGCAATAAAGTGCATCGCACGAAGGCATCTGAAGAACATCAGTTGTCTTTGCCTACCAAAGTGCGACCCATGGGACCCTTCTGCAGCAGATAGGACACTTGCGAAAGAAAAGTTTGGGACGGCAACGCGACATTCTAATCTCTAACCTTGTGTGACTGGCATACCCTTGTAATCGTTTTCACGTGAATCCTAATAAGATAACTCTCTGATTTTTAAGACTGTAAACTGTAGAGTTTGGTTCTAGGCTAACATAAACTTCGGATATGGTTTCGAACAAAACTGCACATTATTTCACTAGGTAATCTTCTAACACAGGTTTTGAATAAACCATAGGTATTCAAGAAAAAAGAATAAATCAGGATAAATCATTTTTAAATAAAAAGAAAACTATTTGTCTTAATAATAGGTATATTTAAGAAAAAATAACATATGTTTTAATAATATATCATAATAATAATACATTATTACAAATACATTAATAATTTGAAAAAAATTGCAGTCTGGGAACATGTATATAGAAAATATAAATTTCCTCCGCGAATATGGAAATTTTACGCCTATGCAATCTGGCCGCTCACTTCTCAAGTTACGGGCTCCTGGAGGGGATTAGGTGGAGCGAACGCACAGTCCCCTTGCCCCGCTGTCGGTTCAGTTTGTCGGTGCTCGGCAACTTAGCTGCAACGCACAGTACACGCGGCGGAAATACACGCGGAGAAACTACACGCGGCGGAAATACACGTGGAAAAGTATACGCGACGAAAAAAATACATTTGTAATTATATACAATTTCAAAACTGGACCCGCCAATACTACAAAAAAACCTATGACATCCTACTCTAAATCGTCACTATGTAAAGTTAACTGTTGGAAATTAATACTACCACTACGCGGTGTATACAAATTTGAACCTACCATCAATTCTACATGCCTGTCGTCAACAAACATTGTGCGACTGCATTCCTTCCTAACTTTGAGCGCTGTGCGCACTACTGTTATATATCAGGGTGTCTGGCAGGCTTAGTAGAAATAATATACTACGGTATTCCTTTTCGATGTATTTATATATATCTTTATTCGCTTTCTGAATTACACACTTCCTTTCTCTAGCAAGGCCAGTCCTATAATGGACGGCTAGTTTTTCCCACCAGCGCCGCGCGCTCTACGCCTAGAACTATATATGTAGAAATAGAAAGGCGACTATGAGGGAGCAATCGTTCTGTACTCCTACAACTACACATATAGAATTTAGTAAATCGCTGCCTACCTTATTTCTCTTTCTATTTTTCACGTCAGGCAACATGAAGAAAATTCTTTCCGATTCCGCATTAGAATGCGGAAGACATCGAACTACATTTAAGGGGGTAGACACGGCACGTGACCTCTCCGATTCGGGACGTCGCACAGCGTTACTAGTAGCGATGCTAGCTGGACAAAACCTTTTTTATGTCTATTAATACAAAGTGTGGCTTTAATAAATTAATATACTTATTTTTTAATCTATACAGTATTTAATAAGAAATTTTATAAAACAATAAACATATTTATGTTGAATGAAAAATTTATCAATCTTCATTGCTTACGGAACTACACTCTTCATCGGTACTTATTGAAACTGTATTTTCATTAGAAATATGAAGTAATAAATCATTATTTAGTTTTAGTAAATTTCTAACTTTGAAAGGTATCGTGTTAATCTTTTTTTTGTGGCTTACTCTATAACTATTTACAAGGGGGTCAGACGTAATCAACAACATTGTTAACAAATCTGTATTTGTTGCAGTACGTGACATTTTGCGTGAATGTCTTTCCCGAAATCTTCTGCATTCTTTATTTCTAGCTTCCTGAGCCTCTTTAGAAAGCTGGCCAATGGGTATAATACAACTATTAATAATATCGGAACTATGAAAAAATAATTTGTGTAATGTTACGGGCATGAAATACCACGAATATAATTTTAAATAAATATTTTTTGTCTCTAAACAGAAAGATTTAAATTTTTCTATATCAATGACATGGCTTGAAGATATCGCTTGTAAAATTGTGCTTAGATTTTCAATTAATTCATGATTAATGCCCGTGATTTGTGAAGTTATGAAAGATATTTTTAAAAAATCGTCTTGCCGAATTTCCATCGTTTGTGGAACCATAACCCGGCTTTGGTTTGTCTACTATGACACCCATCTGTTCTTTAAATTTTTTTAGAATTTCGACCTTCCTCAGTTGTATTAAAGATTTTTCAATTTCGCCTCTAATTTGCCACTTTTTTAGACTTAATTTATAACTTATATGCAATAAGCATTCATAACTTCTTATCCTTACATGCAAGGGTGATATACCGAAACTATAATTAGCAATATTGTTATTAATATCGGTAGGTTCATTGTTTAAGTTTTTTGGCGTTGCACCACATATGTAGCACTTTTGACTCGATGAAGTGTTTGTTACTACGTTACAAATTTATCATTGTTAATAATAGCGTATATTTTATTTCCAAACTTTGTCCTTCAATTACTAAACGTTTCGGGCATAAATTATCAATCTGATTTTGAATTGCACGAACTTCGATCTCTATCAATTCAGTTGATTCTTTTTTAAATATAAATTTTATTGGGCGACAAAATCGTGTTGAAGAACAAGATGGGTTTTCCCAAATAGTGCCTATTTCATTATTTAATTTTATTGGCACAAATGAAATAAGAAATAGGAATTCATCAGAAATTTCAGGTGATTGAAATTTTTGTTTATAAGTACTGTGACCACTACTTCCATCACAGCCCGATTTACAAATAAAATTTAAATTTCTTTGGTTTCTAAAAATTGATTTTTCAGCTAATGATAGTCGATATACCCAATGATCCAAAGCTTCCTGAAGAGGTATTTCTGCACTAACTTCTGTTACTGTATAATTTAATGGCAGACATGCCTTTTTAGAGTGTCTTATACTATAATAGGATGGATAGAGGTCGTGCCCTAATGCAATAGCATTTTTTCGCATAAGATTATATGTAAAATACGTTTGTTTTGTGTCGACATAAAAAGCTAAAGCTTCATCCCCTGACATTGATCGTTGACAATGTTGTTGATCTGTCTGCTTCCGTAGTTTTTTCATTTCCGTGGAAACACGTTTTGGAGACTTTGACAATTGGGCCAATACGGTTGCTACGTTACGGTCGCCTTTGGCACGCATTGACATTCCTGCTGCAAACATTAGTTTTTCTGCAGAGTGGGTTGTTGTTAAGTCATGAAGTCTTCGTTTCTTGGATTTTGTTGAAATTTCCACGAAAGGTTTTTGAGGCCTTCCTGTAGATACTCTCGACGTAGATGGTACAACAAAATCATCTTTTAACCCTTTCGGTACGGAGGAGCTGGCCACGGTTATACATTCACTGGACGAGAAAGTTTTCCGCGAGAGTGATTACACTGTACGGCAGTGTAAGCCGCAAAAGGGGACTTGAACCAACTTTTAAATAAAATATTCAATACATTTACGACATAAGCATACATACCAATTTCTTTACACTAGCTTGTTCCGTGGATGCCGACTTTAGGCGGCGATAGTACCCAAAGAATGTATCGTGGATGCCGACTATAGGCGGCGATAGTACCGAAAGGGTGAAATAACCGTTGAAGATTATAAAATCTTCAGCTTGAAGCCATGATTCTATACACGTATTTATACAATTCATTAAGACGATCGTCCTTTTGAAAATTCCTCCAAACGTCAAAAAATTCAGATCGTGAAATAGCGATCTGTGTCACTAAAAATATTAATATTATATATATTTGCACATTTCTGCATACTAAAATTTATGTGCAGAAATAGTTTAAGGTATACTCTAATACTCTTAATAAGAATTTCTGTGTTTATTGGCGATTATTATATACCTTAACCTTATTGAATATTGCAAACATAACAATAATATTAAATATAATTTTCGGAATTAATTAAAATGATTTAACGTACTTTCGTTGTAAGTTTTCATTATAGGACTTCTATTTAAACTAAAAGAAACTGAATACAAAACGTATTTTGATAATATTCCTTGATATTAATATTTGTTTCGAGGGGAGCGAGGGAAGCCGGGGAGAGTCCGTACACACAAAAAAAATATACCAAAAAAAAATGTACGAGATAGTCTAGACGTAATCAGTTTATTAAAATAACCGTAATTGAGGAGACACAAATCAGGTGGAAGAAGGCCGGTACAGTAAAACCTGGATAAATTCAACCAAGATTGGGACCCAGTGGTTGCGTTTACCTAAGCGCGGAGTCGAATCTCAGGTTACACGCGACGACCAGCCAAGCGTGAACGTAGAAAGGGACAGTGGTGGAAAGAGAGAGGTCCGATGATCAAAGGAATGAGCCGAAACGTATCGGTGTGACTAATACTAATTGAATCAGAAATCTTTTTTGTCTTTGACTTTTTTTTAGTGAAACTTTTACTAGCGCATGGTGAGATTTTTGTGATTAAAGTGGTACCAAACACGATATAGTTTCAATTATAATTACTTGCTAAAATTGATGTTAAAAGTTGGCGAAAAGCAAGAGAGATCGAAATCAAAACCAATCGCGGTGTCGACTCTGGTTTCAAAGGTTTCATTTATCCTGGCGAGGTATCGATTCTGGGCATTTAATGTTTCATTTATTCAAGCGAGGAGTCGATTCTGAGTACGTACTGTTAGGCGAGAACCTCTGCTAGCTTGACTAGCAGAGATAACACCCTGCATTCCCTATTCCCACGGTACGGCAGCCCAGAAACTGATGACACATAGAAACATAAGAATCCGACGACTGGGCTGCTTCTTCGCGAACGAAACTGCGCAACATATTCATACATATAATAAAAAACCACACCCGGGCGGGCATTCTGCGCCAGGCGACTTCATAGCAAGGGTCACGATCGCTTAGTAGTTAGTTCTCGTGCGAGATTCGAACCATTATCCGAAACTCAGTTATTAATTCAATAAACCTAACGTGTGTGGAAGTGATACCGTGTAGTTTTAATTGCCTTCCTGAGTTGCGACGTAACAGTACACATGTTTTCTATTCAGCCGACATGCCGATTCTGTGTCCGTACATGTTTTTTATTCAGCCGACATGCCGATTCTGCGTACGTACACATCTTTTGTATTCAGCCGACATCATTTATATTCAGTCGTGGTGTCAATTCTATGTTGTTTATTCTATTACTATTGTTTATAAATATAATTCAAACTATATCGTGTTTGGTATCATTTTAATCAGAAAAATCTCACAAATGCGTTAGTAAAAGTTTCATTGAGAAAAAGTTAAAAATAAAAAAATTTTATCGTTGAATTAGTATTAGTAACACCAATATTACGGTCGGATCATAGTACACGGTTTCCTCGTCCAGCGGCTCGGTTCGC